TTGATACGTCTTACTCGGCAGCATATATTCGTTTTGTGCGAATTCAGCGCATTAAAATTAAATTACAAAAATTTCCGATCACACCCTCGCTTATCCCATTATATTATTCTTTTCCGGTGACAGATAAACTCACTCACGTCTCCTCCCTCTCTCACGCTCACTCTTTCTCTCTTTCTCTCGCTCTCTCTGCCTCTCTCCCGAGATGGCATGAACGTGTCGGAGCGTTTTTAGCAAACTCGATTTAAAACACGTATGTGACTGTATCGCGTATGTACATAATAATAATAATATGTACAGTTCGGTAACGTGTAACGCAGCGTGTAGCCGTTTCGCGTGTACGCGATCATGTCCTACAAAAAAAAAAAAAAAAAAAAAAAAAAAAAAAAAAAAAAAAAAAAAAAAAAAAAAAAAAAAAAAAAATAAAAAAAAAAAAAAAAAAAAAAAACCATACGAAAACGATTCGGATCAAAAAAAAATAACATATGTCCTCGTCGGAGCGCTATTCGTACGTACCCATGTAATAATACCCTTGTAATAAGTTGAAGACACGGGACCCGCCCAAGCGTCCACCCGCCCACCCAAAGCGTCATATAATATTATAATAATATAACATTGTTATGAGGCTTGTAATATTATTATTATATTATCGCGTACACGTTGCTGTGCACATTCTATTGTAATACGGCGCTCGACTATATCAGTATAACGCGTTATAGAAAATATATTATTATGCATATATGAACCTACTCGTGTACATCGGAATTGCAAGTCAGGTTATGATTGGGTGAGGTAAGGTCGCGGTACACATTGCAAGACTGGAATGGCCGAGGAGGACTGACGTGTAGATACGTCACTGAGACACGGAATCAGGAAAATGTTTTGGGTTGAGTTCAGGTAAATTAGTACATCATCAATTTATAAAGTTGAACTTTTATGAGTTTAATATTATATCCAATGCATATTATTATTCAACATTGTAATACTGGTAGAAATATTATGGCACTGGTATAAGCTGGAAATGTAAAGCTTGTAAGTTGTAGGCACAAAATACATATATTTAATTTGACAAAAAATTATACTATGTAGGTAATATTAATACAATAAATGTTTATTAAACATGAGTATAGTGTTCTGTGCAATTCAAAATGTACACGCCAATTGTCGATATCAATAACCTTAATACAGAGAACGGCTTATTAGCATAGCAATATAAAAAGCTAAGTTTGAAATAGATACTATAATAACGTATTACTCTTGTAAAAATGTGTGACAGAATAAGTAAAAGATACGCACATTTTACTTATTCTTTGTTTAATAATTTTGGTTACTCGGCTGTCAATCATAACAAAATTAAAAAAAGTTATTCTTTTTAACTGATAGTTGGGCTTGAAATTTGTTTTGTCTTCGTAAATTAAATTAATTTATTTTTGACAATAAGCTTTACGTTCAATTGTTCATTAACTAATTAATTATTGTCTGTAGGTCTTTGTTTTCACGTAAACAATAATTATTATGATTTTAATGATAATTGTTATGGACTTTATATTTCAAGGGACCTATGTAGGTAGTGGATAACCGCAAAACTAGCAGTTAGCCTATTTTCATAGTTCATAGCATAGTAATTCACACAAAATAAATTATTAAAATGTCTTCGTCTAAAACTTATTTGAACTCAAACTTAACGAATAAACAGATGAAAATATAATATGTTTTATTGTTATTTTAGTACCTAATTAATATAGTTTGGCAAGACTTAATTGGATCTTGATCATTTAATTTTATATTTTAATACTAAATTACTAGTTTTTGGGATAATATCTAATGTAATAGGTACATTAAATACATCTAAAAGCGAACATACAAGGAGTGAGAACATACAATAAAATATTGTACATACAATAACAAAAATAATTTAATTGCTTATTTTCTGTTGTATTTTACAAGAAATGTGTTTATAATATTTTTTATACCAAAAGGGTTTAAATTTAAAAATACGAGGTAATATAAAATTACTTAAGAGTTGAAAAATATTGCGTGTACCTATTCATCAAAAATATTTCTTTTGCAGAATTTAAAATTGAAAGCTTTAAATTTAATGCATGGCGTCAATTGAATTGTTTTTAATAAAATTCTTATACTTAACACCTATATACTGTCTAGACAACATTTAGTTTTGAGCTTTTAAAATGTTAAAACTATGTGTTGTTATTCCGTGATATTTGATAAAACAATATAATTTCTTATACAAAAACATGACCTATTTAAAAAATATTTATGTATGTAATTTAAGTAAATATTTTAAGTTTTTCTATTTTTTTAACAATATTTACTTAATCTGACAAATTATATTAAAGATAAAATGTAATATGTAAAAAAATATACCAAAAACGTTTTTATTTTATGCATTTCACATTGTAAATTTGGTTTTAAATGTACAATTTCAAATCAATATATTAGTATTCATGTTTTATACACAATCAAATGAATAATATTATAATTATTAGTAAACAGTGTAATGTATTCAAAATACAATGTCCTTTTTTTATGTCTGTATTTTCAACTTTTGTTCTTTATACAATGCAGACAACTTTCTTCTCTGCCATAGAATTTATGAAAATAAACCTGACCTATATTTAGCTTGATATCCCGATGAAAATGCGGTTTTGAATATCCTTCAAATTATACAGAATGGTTTTAACATAATAATATGCCTTTGTTATGGACACCGTTATGTTCCTGGTGTTAAATGCGTTTCATATAAAAGAAAACATTATAATATAGTTACTTTGAATACGTATAAGTGTATAACTCATAATAAATGCTACTTATACAGTACAATAATATATTAATCTGAAAACGCATTTAAACTGTTAGTAGAGAGTTATGCATTAAAAATAATATGAAACACATTTTGCGTACAAACACAAAACACGTTTTAATTGTTGAGTAAATCACACAACGTACCGTACTTTGGTATTCTTTTTAACAATTAATATTTATTATTCCATCCAAATGTTGTGTTTTTCAAAAAATGTCCAACGTACATAGTTTAATAAGAATTTAAAACTGCGTGACATTTGTGAAAAAATATAATTTTCATAAAATGTATTCTTACAGTGATGTTTCCGATAATTTAATTATAATTCATAGTTTTAATAGCACCTACTTAACTTTAAGCTACATAAAAAACAATAGTTTTAAAACCATTCAATTTGACTGATCGAGAATCACTGCTAAAATAATAATCACTCAGAATAAGTATACTTGACAGTATAATAAATATGTTTCAAATTTAACTGTTGCCCGAAGCATGAATAAAATAGTATAATTACCTCGTGTAATGCCCTTGGAATGTGATACACACCAAAGACTTTATTGAATTATTACATGCTACCTTGATGTGCAAATGACGTGCGTTTCGGTTGTTTTTGTCAAAAACCCAAAAATAGTTGAGAGTGGCTGCGTATTATTATTACAATAAATACCGTGCCGGAGATTTGGATATAACTGCTAAAATAATAGTATGATAATTTAATTATACAGGATATAATATCACGATTAGCTAATTAATGTTCGGTGTAAGTCGCAAATAAAAACAACGAAAGGAGCTGTGCAGGATATTATTGGAAAAATGTCCTAACAGCAATACATCTGTCACTGTGTTCCCTCTTTGTGCTGTCCACATAATAGTTTGTCGATTGTTTGTCCGACGACAAAAGGGTCGAAAAACTGTTAACCGTTATAGTCGGTTTAGGTAGGTATACCGAGAAAGTTTAATTAAAGTAGCAATTTTTAATCCAAACACTTATCGCAAGCCGAATAATTCTCGAGGAGAGTAACAAAAACAACGTTTCATTAAATTCTTCAAGTGGGTATACAACGATGTACGTTGGTTTGAAGTCACGGTCGGACTGACGGTTTTACTAATCGCTACTACTTATTTGTACATAAATTTAATTTAAACTTGTTTTATTCAAAAGTTGTATTCGGTGACGTTCAAAAATTTGTAACAAAAACACTTTCAGTGATTAAAGAATTATCTATTCTAGAATCGTGTTTAACGAACGTTGCGATCTTTATTCCATTGTCAACTTACAAAATTTAACTTTATTAATTTCAAATTATCGTATCGTTTAATTAGTATTAATTTTAATATTTGTGTACATTAACAATGTATAATTAACTAAAGAAAATAACAAAACAATTTGTAAATCAATGAACACCTATAGAAACAACACTTTAATATAGAACGCATGAGTGGGTAGTAGCATGATAAATTAATATTGTATAAACTAAACTGGAAAAAGTAGAATCTATTATGATATGAAAAAAGTCATTCATTTAATTAAAAATAAATATAATTACATACATTATAATATAGTAGAAGACACGCATAGCGCTACAAAGTATGGTGTATTGCGAATACTACTGATAATGTAAAATAAACGATATTTAATTTCCCATGTAAATAATTAATTGCTGGACGTATCAATTATGTATTTTATCCCCCAAGAAAATTGTATCAAACACGAACACTCGCGTAGTATATTATGATAATTATGTTTTAATATTTAATTTAGTACTTATGGAAAACGAATAAATCATAATAATATTTACTCTGACTATCCCTTATTCTATCGATATTCAAAGTAATTCGAACTATATTTAGTAGGTTTTATTTCTTAGAAATATCTTTTCAACGAATAAAACAATTAATCAATTGTTTAGGAGTGAATAAATGTTCATTTTGAGTTATATATTTGTCGAAATCATACTGATAAAGTGATAACTATTTTGAACGTTTCACAACTGCAGTATTTACATGTTTTGATGTGTGGCAAATTGTATTATTACTACAAAGCAGACTTTCACTCTTATCGCTAATCAATGTGCGATATCTATGTGTATAATGATTTGGCTAGGTGATCCGCCGAACAAATTTACTTTTAATTACAGAACATGTATAATATGTTAATATTATATGTCTGATCTGTCCAAAGGTTAAAAGTGGAACGTGCCGGTGGTGGATGGTGTCCCAAGCCACCGGTGGAACAAGGCGTCCGGGAGTGGCTGCAAGTGAACTTTGAGACAGTGCACATGATCACTGGAGTGCAAACACAGGGACGATTTGGCCACGGGCGTGGACTCGAGTATGCTGAAGAATACACATTGGAGTACTGGAGGCCCGGGATGGCGGAATGGAAACCTTACAAGCGATGGGACGGAAAACAGGTGAGAACCGAACAATTTAGTTTTCAAATTGTTATCATTGTTCTGATAATTGTTAAGGTTTAAGTTATTCAGATTTTTCAAAGTTTTCTTCTGGTTAGCATGTAGAAGCATTTCAATATTTCACAACCTAATTTAAAATCGATATAAACCTATACAAATCAATGTACGCGTTGATGAGGCACAATGACTTTGAATCTACACAGATCCAATAAGCACCAAATTTCAAACACATATTCTTTAACCCTCGGGGAGTATTAATAGCTTCATTTGTCAACTTATATAGGTGTCTATAAGATTGCTCACTCATAAATTTCGATTTTGCTCACTAAAATTGAATATTTTTCTGTATAATATAATATATATTGTGGCATTTGGCTACTGTTTGTATGTTTGTATATTGTAAAGAAAAAACAACTTGGCCAATTTTGATAATAATTTCAAAAATTATACTTAAATGAATCAAAAAAGTTTAGAGTAACTAAAGCTTAACCACGTTAAAAAATATTCCAAGTTCTATATCCAATCTGACACAGGGAGATTGCCTTTCTCGATCGATTTAGTTCACAATGCGAGGTTCACCAATATAGCACCGTATTTTGTATTTGTTCATTTTTCCCGGGCGAAGTCGGATTATACAGCTAGTAATATTATAAATGTCACGTTATGCATTAACACCATACTACTTTTATAAAAACAACATTTTTTTTTCTAAATAATAATATGTAAACTTAAATAAGCTTATCAGGACGTGTCCAGACAATATAATATGTCATTGTTATTACCGCATAATACATTCTGTTTGCGGCGATAATCGCGCTTTTATAACGCCGCCGCGTTGTCTGAGTGAAGTTAAAGTAGAATTTAAAATATATTATAACCATATTATAATAATATAATATATTATTTGCACCCCTTGATTATTAACCCTGTTACATCAATGAGAAAGATAGTTTCATTACAATTCACTATCTTTGAATGGCTCTTGACGTGAAGATACATAATATAATCGTCATCGTCAATGATATATAGTTGTGTGAGTATCAAAATCATTTTAACAATTATATACAATTAAATATAAATACAATTACAAATACAATTATTAATATATTAATGCCGACGAATAGGAGTGTTACCAAAAAGGCAAAAATGATCTCCAAATTTATAATTTGTATAATAATTATAATACATTGTATTTTATTTTTTTTATTTTTATTTTCATTGAATTTTATTATACTCCATATGTAATTTATGATTTAATTTAGTAAAAAACAAAAATATGAAAATCATAATAAACATTTAGTCGTGAAAAATAAAAACTTGTCCCGAAACTGACACTTTTTGGTCGTAAAAATCCATAAGGTTTTTAGCTGGATATTATTGTTATGTTGATCAGCTTACACATTTCTGTTTCATTGTTTTCCTCAAAACGATTAAAATAAAAATAAAAATTGCTTTGGTCGACAATAGGTTTAACGGTCCCAGACGTTTAACGCGTTATTATTTTAGTTTTCGGGTGGCAGACAGTAGTTATTTATTCGAGCTAAAAACAATGACGACATCGAGTACATGGTGAATACAGCAGTGGACAAAATGTTTTACGAGTTTCATAAGGAAAGTTTAGTCCGTGATAGCGATGGCGATAGTGGTGGTAGTGAAAGTGGTGGTGGTGGCAGCGGCAAAAGACTTAGGGACCCAGAGCACGTTATTAAAAACACCGGGAAATTTATGGAACGATAACAATAATATCGACCTGCCCTGTTATCTCTCCTCTGCCCTCGAGGTCGACGTTAGCGGACAATAGTTCCGAAACGAAAACTTTAACACCCTGAATACAGTTACACCGTCGTGTGTCTCGAAATTTTGGTTTTTTCCCTTAAAACATATTTACGACGTCTCTACAGTTTCTGCTGAGAAGCCGTATAAAGCTACTCTGGTTGTTTTCTGTCCACTCGAGGAAAAAATACAACCTTAATACGTATATCACCTTTTAGTTTTTGTCCTTCATTTTATATTACTGAATTGTGCCAATTTATGTGAAAAAATATGAATATATAATATGATGTCTATATAGTAAAATAGATAAATTTACAATAAATCATTAATCAACATGTTTATATTTAGTAATAAAACGTAACATTTAGAACATAGCAAATGAATATAATAATACAATAAACAATTTTAAGGTATTATTTATTTTCTATCAAATATATTTATTTTAATATCAAAACTCTAAATATAGATTAATTGTGAACAATTCATACCTGAATTTACGATGACGCTTTTTCTATTATTATTCTTGGGAAGTGCTGTGTGTCAAGTGTTCTGGTGGGAAAAAAATGTAATTTAGATTACAGCATTCTCGTTTATAATGAGATTGCTTTATTTTGTTTGAGTTCATACAATAATCATATAGATACTTGACATTACCACCAACTATTCTATATAATTGAGCAAGTGAGCAGTATGTAAAGACCTAGAATAAATAATAATATTTGTATAAAATAATGTAAATTAGATTATTCTGATTTGTACAACTTAAAAAATATAAACTAAATCCTATGCAAATAAAATATTTCAGTAAATTAAGGCCATGTCCATTATAGCTTTTTGAGAACCAATGTAGTTTGCCAACACTTTATCTCTGCCTTTAATTGAGTCCCGGCGCGGCGCAATGTATAGGCAATATAGCTACATTAATGCGATTTTGTCATTGTATGACACTTGGTATTAGCTATAATATCACTTTAATCCGAATACGACAATATTGTCAAACACAATAATTATTTGAAACATATAAATAGATTATTATATAAACATATTTAAGTTTATAATATGCCATAATATAAGATGACATCGATTAATCAAACATAGACTTTTAAGAATAAATATTTTAAATGTATAGATATAAAATTTTAAAATATTATTTTATGTTTTTAATTATTTCAAATAATATTGCTATAACATTAAATTACATAAATTATAGGTACATTTATTTTTGGTCAAACTAAATTTAATATTAGATACAAATATAAAAAAATGTTGTCAAAGTATGTGTGTGTGTGAGTGTGCATTACAGTTTAACAGAATTTCAATAATATTTATATAGTGCATAATATACTACACCTCTTTGATTAATATTGAAGAATTCATTGAATTCTAATTTTTACTTTTTTTTTATTATTTCTATTATTTAATAGGAAAAGATGAAATCAATAAAATAAAATAAAATAAAATAAATATAGGTTAGTCGAATATATGACTATTACCTTCTATAAAGGATATTATTTTATACAAAGAAAATCAATAGTAAAGGGAAACTCGGTAGGAGGCCAAGACAGAGGTTTATGGACCTCGTCGGGTTGACAAAATAAGTATTTCAGATTAACTTCAGAGGATGAAAACCAATGGATAATTATCATTCCTTACCAGGAAATACAAAAGCGAAAAAAAAAATAAAGTAGGGACCGTTGGAAAATTAATAAAAGGGCATACTCACCTCCATTTTTTATTCTATGTCTAGTGTCGTATTTATCGTATAATATTTTATATTTTTTATATTTTTCATATCTCTGTAATAAATATATTATATTTGTCTAAATGTTTACACGACCAGCTTAATAATTATTTCCAATCACTAATAATTCGACTAGAGCATCGTTTGCAAATATATGATTTTCCTATCACTGTACAAAATAGACGATTACTGGCAGTGTTCAATTAATATTCTTTGTCAAAAGTGTAACCACATTTTAATTTTTATTAGATCCTAAATCGATGTGTGGTTCTTTTAGAGAGATACTATATAGGTACTTGTACCATAATAATATCGTACAACAATAAACGGCTATAATATAATATTACCGCACTACATACGAAATATTGGAAACTACCACTGTATGCGAAACGCATTAACAGTCAATACTGGTTTATGGTGTACGTTAACTTTTCTATTATCCCCGTGGACGTGCCCACTTGACCATTTAGAGCGGAAAATATTAAACGCCCGCGTTCTCGCTTTCGGCGATTGTGTATCATATGTGTGCACTGTCGAATTAACGAAACTCAATGTTGTAGCCTTTAAATATAACGTGCGAGTATACCTTTCCGGAGAAATATGTTGGGTAAATGTGTTCGAAAAAATATATATATATATTTAGAGAACAGGAAAATGCTTTTTCCTTCAACACGCAACAAAGGTTTTTTGATGATTTTATAACTCGTTTAAATATAACGTGCGAGTATACCTTTCCGGAGAAATATGTTGGGTAAATGTGTTCGAAAAAATATATATATATATTTAGAAAACAGGAAAATGCTTTTTCCTTCAACACGCAACAAAGGTTTTTTGATGATTTTATAACTCGTATAAATGCTAAACCTTGTACGTCTGTCATGCGTCGTTCATCGTCATTCGGCGTGCCATTTGCCCGCAACCACTTAACGTTTCGATATTTTATACATTTATATACAAACGTGAGCCCAGTCGCCCTTGAACGGGTTTAAAAGCAAATCCGAAAAAATAATATATTATTTATAATTTTCAATAACATCGCACAAACGTACATAATAATAATAATAATATATAACTCTCCGTACACCCTTTTGGTGTAGTCGGTCGGCGTATCTGCGTGGGTGTGACATAAATTGCATTAGTTTGAATACAACATTACTACAAATGTGAAATGGAAAACATAATTTGAACACGCTTTACCTAGAATTTTATATTATGATAAAGTTAAGCCAATACGGTATTATTTTTTAACTAAAATGTGTTCATGACAGTTATATAACTGTATTATACACAGTTTTAGGTACAAACAAGAAGTAACCGTCCACCACTAAATTCCAAGGGGTATTTTAGGCTGCAGCTATCCGTCCATAAAAATATATTATAATGTTAAGTTTCACTACTTTGGCTATAATTCCTGAATTCAGAGTACAGAATAAGTAATAATTAATTTTTAACGTAATCCCATGTCAAAACAAAAGTTGTATTATATATTAATATAGTTTTGAAAGTTAAACAGAAGTGGTTAACTCTTTCAATTTTTAGTTTCGTTAAGTACATTTTACGCATCGCGCTTAGCATAGTATATATCTATTTAAAAAACTGTCAGTCAACTTTTTATCCGTAATTTTTGTTCAAACAAACATAAACTTTTCTAGTGACTTCCAATAGTATATAAACGCACACGATATACGTATTATATATGAATAATATGTATCGTACTGTTCGAAAAATTAAATCTCACTCAACATTCAAATCGTGCTCAATGTGTACTCTTCGATATTATCAGTAGATACAGTATTAAATATTGATATATGATTTTACGTTTTATTATATTATTAAATCTATATGGTTTTATTGTATAAAAGCCGATCGTTTAACACCCGCGTTCAACAAAATAAAACAAGATAATGCGCTACCTAATGAATATCGATAATACCTATTTATATCCGATAAATACGTATGTAACTAGTAAACAATTATACTGAAACATTTACAATACCATCAAATCTAAGTAGATAACACGATGATTATTAAGATGATCATAAAATATGATAAGCACCTCTCATATTTTATCACACATCGACGTTTTTGTCATTAATTCTTAAGGTATAACAAACATCATTCAATTTTAACAATTTTTTTGTGATTATATTTTTACCAAAAATTATAATGTGTGCTCACTATTCTGTACGAAAAACATAAACAAATGAAATCAGTTAGGTAAAATAATTATTTGTATTAGAGCTACAAATATATTCACCATTCAAATGTTTCTAAATTACAAATCCTATAGGTTTATAAACGTCAACCTTTCAAGACGTTGTATTCATATTATATTGCGGGTTATTTTTAAAAAAAATAAGGTAAGCGCCTACTTTGTTATTCTGCGTTGGTTGTTCGTTCCCACAAACGTGTACATTTAAATAAAAATAGATTTTTACACAACATTGAAACGAAAAACCATTAGTGATTATTGTGAGAATCGATTGGCAAACACAAACACAAGTCCGTGGTTATAATGTATATTTATATGTTCTAACTGTGTAATATATAAAAAGAGAGAGATGGAGCATATATATTATTACTTTCAGTTCGGAACGCGCCAGCGCTGCGCAAAGCTGGCCGACCGACCCAGTTTGTTTCGGAATTTATCTGAGAGTTCGGATTCTAGTCCGGGTCGGGTGCCCCGCCACGGCCCTGTCTGGCCCCGGAACCGTCGTTCTTTCCGATTTATCCGAGCAATTACGCTGAAGTTGGCCCGAAAGACAAATCGCCCAGCACTCTCGGGCGACCCGACATATTATACATATATACATATATATATATATGGAAATCTCGAAGTGTCCTCCGTCCCACTAACCCCACTCACGCCAACATCCCTCATGGACGACCGGAAACGCAAACTCGCACGACGTATATACTTATGTACGCATATATTTTGTAGGTGTGTGGGTGTGCGTGCATGGTCTTATAAATTCACATTGAAACGGTGGCGCGAGCGACTATTACATTACACCCGGAAGGCACTACTTTTGTAATTCCGGAAACTTTGCAGCGATCTCGGCGGGTATAAAAGTGCGACGTTTACGTTTCAATTGATCATCCCCCGTCGCCATCCGTTCCGCGTTGTGACCACCCCTACATACAAACACACACACACACACACACACACACACACACACACACACACACACACACACACGCGCGCGCGCGCGCGCGCGTAACCGAAACACACGATACACGCGCCTGTGTGGGTGTGTGGTGCGTATGTGTGTGTGTATAATATATATCACTGGTGACAAGTTTCAGTAGGTCAATATCGGTTAGAGCGTAACAAGTGTGCGCGGGCGGCCACCGCGTTCGGATTACTACTACAAATCTCCGATAATTTGTACGTTTTACGCCGCCACGCGAACCAACTTCTTCACAACCACAATCCTTCAAGCACTGGGACAATACAACAGCGATCGAAAGTTTAAGGTTTTTAACGGGTCCCTTGCCCAACCGTTTCCGCAAAAAAAATAATATTTTATCTACATTTTAAACTAATGCTTTGATACATTATTAAGATTACAGTTATCAAATAAATAAAGTTCAACAGTGTTGAGTAAACAACAATTTTTTTTTAGTCAAACTATGCAAGCTCTCTCATTAAGACCTCACAATACATATATTGTAATTTATTATGATTCGGTGATATTATTTTTCCAAATTCAACCACTTACTGTTTTATATCGCATAATTGCTTACACGTCTTGTAACTCGTATTATTACCGTGCACCTCATATGACACTACGGCGTGTACCATATTTACAAGCAATATTGCGAAATGTCTGTCGTGATACTTGATGTGGTTTTATTATTGATGTTTATTATATCGTGATTTCACATAGATTAATTCACAATAATTACAGGTAATATCCTGAGATATTCTAGATAAAATGAGCAGAAAATCGCACTGACATAAACTTTGATAAATCTCATCGGATTCCAAAGAGGACTTGTAGATAAATAATAACGTTTATTTACACTGCATATACTCTGTATACTCTAATTTACTACGTTTATGCAATTGTTAATGCGCAATGCGCATTAAGTAAATTCAGGTTAAGTACATACTAAATAAATGACTTTTTAATTCACATTACTCTAATGCGCATTAATTATTTGATTATGTTGATAATTTTGAATTAACTCCGACTCCAGGATTAAAAAATGCATATTATCAATAGCTTAATGAAATTTAAAAATACCAAATCTAGTATCGTTACAATTTATCATTTATTTTTAAATTATGAATTAGAATACACAATTTTAGTTTTTTAAACATAATTTTCCTTTCGGTTTTTGGTTACATGCGTTGATCAATACGCATAATAATTGATAAAATTAGATACTACGATGACAAGTCAACCTAATCTTATATTGGTGTTATCTGAGATTTTTAATGGTGAAAAATGAGCGGTTTGATGATTTCAACTGTAAGATAGTTGATTAAAGCGCTTGTAGTAGATTTTATCTTGTTTAATTCAGTGAGTACCTATTTTTAATTCAAAGTACAGATGAATCATTGGGTTCATAGAATGGAGCTTTCGAGGTGATACGAAGAACTTTAGACTGCAATCTCTGAATACATTTATTATTGGAGATTTTAGTTGCACCCCAAAGCTGAATGCCATATTATATCCAAATGGGTCTTACAGCAGTAAATATGATAGATAGACTGAACCGTTGAAGGTAATTTTATATTTTTGAAGGTAATCCTAGGACAAAGATGGATGAGTACCTATATTATTAAGTGGGACAAGGTGCTTTATTTTTATGTGAGGTAACCTGCAAGTTGATAATCTACAATGTGAATGCAAACGTATCCTATGTATTGGTCATCAGATGGTGATGGGTTGTTGAAGAAAAGTTTGACATCGCATATTCCTTGCCGGAGAGTGATAGTACAGTAAATGGAATTGGTCTCATTCTCGTTTACTCCCCAATCTGTGTACCAGGTTTCAAGAAGCCAAAGTTGGTCTTAAACAATTCATTTTACGATTAGGTACATATTCAGTTATTCATTTAATTTTAAACAAATAAATAAGTATACTTAAAATGGTATACCCTATGACCTACACAGTATAGTATATAATATAATAGAACTGATTTAAATACATTAAATTCTCAGTTAAAAAGTATACTTTTGTACACATTTTGTTATGTGTCGTGTTAAATCTAACGAGTGGTTGAACTAAAATACTCAGTTCATATAATTTTATTTTTAATTCTTTGTTACTGAGCCAACCTTAAAATCTAAAATTTCAGATAAAAAGCAAATAAAAAAAAAATAAAGTCCGGATATGTAAAATCTCTGCCTTTGAAAATTCAAAATACAATCCATTAAAGACTAGATTTAAATTTTCTGCTAACCAAAATTAACGAATTATCCATCTCGGGTCATACTGGTGATCTTTTATAGTATGCCCAAGGGACAGCCCGCAAATTTCAGACATGAATACAAAGTGCTTGCAGGTTTTTTAAAAATATTTTATTAATATTATTCAAATTACAGAAATAATCAGATGTATTAAATTAAGTTTTAAAAATAGTACAAATAATAATGTAAAACATTATTTATTTTGGTCGAAGCATCTTTTAAAAATACATTTACTTTGAAAGTTATTATGGATAGATATTTACCGACATTGTAAATAATATCTAATATATATATTATAATAATATTACGGGGTGCGTGATCCAGCTACTTATTTTGTTTATTTGTATAATAACTGTGCATGATGTGTTATTATATTTTGGTTTTTCAATTCCCAGTGATGTTATAATAATGATATGCGTTGACTTCGCATCGGGAAAAAAAACCACCATTCTGACCGTAAATAATTTTATGCGCCGTACAATATACCTACTATACTACAGTTGGTGTATGTATTATGTTATGCGTATTCCGGAATAGAAAACCGAATGCACCTATTGAAAATTGCTGAAGGCATACGTTTGATTTATTTCAGATAATGTCCGGCAACACGGATACCTCGACCGTGGTCTTGCACCATCTGCTTCCGCCCGTCTACGCATCGCAAGTACGCATATTGCCGTACAGCGTTCACCGTCGCACCGTTTGCCTGAGGGCAGAGATCAGAGGATGCCCGTCCGACCGTGAGTAATAATCGTAGACTTCTATTATATCAACGACGGCCTCAGTCGTATAATAATAGTATATAGTGACTGTAGTACATCTCGGCGTGTGTTTATATATACGTATGTGTATGTGCATCTATGTATATATGTATGTAGAGAGAGAGAGAGAGAGAGAGACTTTTCCGGCGCAAACAACATATTGCGTACACATATGAGTATATAATATGTATACGTATATATTTATAGAAAGGGGCACCGCTTCGTACATTCAAATCGATATCGTCGAAATCAAAATCACGTGGGAGTACATATAGTGAATAGTCCGTATATATATATTATATATGTGCAAGTGTATTGGGCGTATAAGAATATATCGTAGTAATTCTGCCTTCGCGTATAAGCTAGACCGAAAAAAAAATATTATATATTATTTAATAAGAAAACCTATGTAGATGAAATATTTCATACAAGTAGTCTTAGGTACACAGTACATAACGGTGCAACATTATTATTGTCGTCGACTTAATAATATTATCATTTACCCGAAATGATTTAATTACAGTACGTATAATCATAATAACATGTGATTCGGGTGGGTTCATTATAAATCGTCGATTGTGAGTGATGGAAAAAAACGGAATTTACCTCTATCGTCACTGGTCGATTGTTGATAATTGTATTACCTATATCAAATGAAAACTGCACTGTGTAATAGATTTTATAGACAATGTTTATTAGACATGAGTCGTAGTTGTGCCGAAATGTCAAATGACGACCGGTATTATAGCGGATAATTGTTTGTGATTTAAAAAAATAATAATAATTATCAGGTGTTTACAATCCGCTCAAAAACGTAATTAACGCGACACTACCTAACGGAAACGATGTTGTCGAACGGTGAAGCGTGCGCACGCACAAACTCACACACAATGTGATAATCATTTTCGTGCGGGGGCGAAACGTTCGGCGCTCAAATTACTCAACGTTCACCGTGTCACCATAATATAACGAAGTCATTGTCGTTGATTCAAACGATCCAGGTCACAGAGATATGACACTGTACAATGTTCGCGTGTGTGTGTGTGTTACGTTAAAATACTTAGGTACCTTTCCTCGCGCGACTCGTGGAATAAACAAATAGGTAGGCGCCTTGATGAAACGCGTGGTCTAATTAACGGGTAAGGTCCCGGTGTTAGTGCACAAAGATGTAAGTGAATTAAGTGATAGGATTGAGTAGAATTAAATTACCTACTTAAATTATAAATTCACTGCACACTGTCGGTCGTCAGACTTCAACCGTACGCTCACAATTATATGATACTCTGACGATTGTGATGTATTGAAACGATACGAAATCACCAGTTATCGTATCGTACACGTTTATTATCATTTTATTTATACTCAGCATTAGACTGATACTATGACACTGAGACATTACAAATTCTTGTCAAACTAATTACAAAGTCTGATTTTTTCAAAATATTCAGCATTTTTGCACATGATTAAATTGTTCAAATACGTTCTGATAGTTCCATGTACACGAAATAAGTGTGGACGAGCATTCTCAAAACTTAAAATATTAAAATCTTAGATTTACAATAAGCCAACCCTATTTTGATCTACTTATCTAACTTGTCTACTTGCTGAAGAAGACATTCAATATTTTTATAAACACAAAGATGCAATTATTGATATTTATGTTAGGATTTTACAGTTGCGAATTAAAACACAACAATTTAAATAATATTTTTTTTTGCGACAAGTTGTATAATTTTCTTTTTTATGCGTACAAATGTAAAAAAAAATATGTTTAACATTGTTGATTATATTGTTGTTTTTTCAATAATTTTATTATATTATTAAATTATTTTTTAATCAAAACTAAAATAATTGTGTTGCAATGTATTAAAATACAGTTAATTTTTTTTGAAGTCTATAAAGGGGACGGTGCACATTACAAATTACTGGGCCAGGGACTCAATAATGAGCAAGACCGCCACTGATCAGTGATCAAATAGCAATATGAATTATAATATTAATGTTATAGTTTATGACTGTGATTTGTAAATAAAAAAATTGTTATACTTCTATACTAATATTCTATACTAATTACTTAAAACGGCATATTATAAGGACTTGAGTCCATTAAACTGTCGTATCAAACTTCACTAGAGTCGTGCATGTGTTTTCACAGATCTTTTTATGCAGTAATATTTAAAACAGATAATATTTTGTTTACACTATACATTTGTCCGATGTACAGCATTACGTCGATATAACCATATTATAATCACTGAACTTGTATAATAATTAATTGAGTGTACTTGAGCTGTACACTAAAACTCAGAATTGGAATCGATTATTAATTACATGTAAATTGTAATTAACCAAATTACTCGAATGTTTGAAATAAGTATTACTCGAGGGTTCCGCTCTCACAAAAATCAATAAAATTGTTATTTATGACCCGTTTAACGAGCACATATTGTGTATATCGAAACATTTAATGCTATAGTTGTTCCGCTTGTAATGCTGTTGATATCAATATGAGTTCAAATATCGGAAATAACTTTATAAAATCTGTAAGAAATTTAAAAAAATAAACGATTATTGATCAAAGAATATCCATTTTTCCCTTCATTTAGAGTATAGGTATAATATAATAATATTATTTTATATGCGTGGAGTTTGTGCAATATTGAATACATTCAAGTTCAAAGGCTCCACACCAGTCATCATTTGTCACAAAATAAAATCAATTCGATAGAATTACTCGAGTTACGAGTGTGAAACAACACTGAAGGCAGCGGTCATATAATAAATTGTTGCCCAAACTTGAGATTATTGACATTACGTTTTTAATGATATCGTTAATATTCAAAAAAAAAAGTTAGAACATTTTGAAAAATACTATTATTCTATTTTTTTTTTTCGTTGGTAAAGTATAATGTATTTGTGATAAGCCCTTTCTAGTAGTGTACAAGAATTCTTATAACATACCTACCCCAAACATCGTTATACTATTTCACCATTTTAATAAACAGTTATTTTTTAAATACAAATACAAATTGATGTTTATTTAAATGAAAACTGTTTAGCCTTAACATTTAAGATCAAGCTATATTGTTACAGAGATCTGTACAATATTTGAACAATGCATCGTATCTTTAGTTAAATACATTTCAGTCCAACGATTTAATCATATTTCAATGTGTTTTCTTATTTAAAAATAATAAATAAAAATACAAGGCATATTGTACACTTTACACACGCACTCGTATAATAAATATAATATATATTTATATTTTATACATACAAACCTAGCCCATTACAATATTCAATGCAATATTATTTAAAAACATAAGTTTAGAATTGAATTTGTTTGTATGAAGGAAAAAAATAAAATGAAAACATGGCGTGTATTGATTTTGCAAGATTTACTTATTCAAACAATAATATGCAGAATGCAAAAGTACTTTAGAAAGCGTTGTTGGGTGAATCAAAACTCAAAAATGTTATTGTTTGTACTGTATTCTATAATATAAATGGATGGCGCACGTGTCTCTGAGATTTTAGCTTCTATTCTGTTGATATTTACCGATAGATACGTGTCGGTGGCTGGAGGAGAAATACAAATGGAAAATAGGAATTGGAAAATAACAGGTGAAATGTTTTTTTTAGCCCTTTTTTATTTTGTCAAGCAATTTTTCCTCAAAAACGTATTGGCCGTTACCGAGACCCAGTTAAATTCTTTGCACGCGCGTTTCAATGTGCAGTGTGCACTGCACCTAAAAGCCTTCGGTCCTCAAAGGACAATTGATATAATAATTTATTATTTTCCCTTTACATTTACCACCGACACCTTTGATAGTTGTGGCTAACAAGGAATTGTACCCCCAAAGGCTTACACGTTTTAGCAAAAACCCTTTTTGCGTTCCTCGGCATTCTTTTTTTTATTGCGCTCTCGGAGAACATCTTCCACTGTGCGTACAGTACGGTGACTACTTTATCCATCTTATCAATATGAACTATAAAGGATTAAGGCGTATTACCCTTATTTTCAATTTGTCTGAACTCTCCGAGCATGTATACAGTGTATACGGTTTCGTTATTTACTGACCCGACTACATACAAATGTGTATAAATACCATTAAATTATTATTTAATTGAATGGACATTATATTAAGTTCATAGATAGTGTACCCGCAGTTAATAGAATGTAATTCTGATAACTGTATACTACTCGTATGTACATGCATATACACATACATTTGTTCCATATTATATGACGTTTAAGTGGCGTAAGTCCATGGCGCGTAGAAAATTCCAACTGCTCTGATCTTAAAATACGTATTTCAGTTGCTATTGGTTAGGTATAGTCGTGTTTCGACGGCGGTCGATTTCCCGACGTTCATTTAAGTTTGTTGATTCCTAACGGAACGGCAATAATTCATTTTAGAATTTATAACCTAGAATAATATCAGCGAGGGGAAAAAATTGGCTCTTAATGCAATATATGGATACGAGATTCCCGTACGTGACGGCAATATTCTTGGTAGGACTAACCGACTGTCTGTGTATCACTGCAGCAGTCTGTATATACTACAAAGTGTACAGTATATTATATACATACCGTACCGGAACAAAAACGAAGGAAAATATGGGCGGCCGCGCATTTCCCCCGTAACAAACATCATCTACCCCTTGCCGACAAACACACCGCGGTTCGCAATATTCTACTACCGAACGACCGACCGGAATTTCGATTAATCACGCTGGACACGTTTCACCATGCGGTGTACACTACTCCGAGTACCAAAGTTTCAGCAAACGCCAAAATAATAACCAGCATTCGACCCCTAACAGTTACCTGGGGTTAGAATTTTTTTTCTCCCTTGTCTGGTGCGTATATATCTGATACAGACAAATCCTTAACGGATTATAATGCGGTTTGTGTTGGCTTGTATTAATCGGACGTTGAAAAGGGTCAGCTGGTCGGATATTAAACATAATAATGA